GTTATTGAATTCGGATACATTTGCGAACTTGAGCCAGTAAGTCAGTGTGCAATATTATCCAATTAGTCAACTGATTCAATGCTGTATATAGACTGTTTTGTTCTTTAATAATAAGTTCACTCCGTGAGTAAGATTGATAACTGCATTTTATTATTAGTTGATCGGTATTTATAGCTACACGAGGTTACACCTCGATACGATTACAGTTTATACTTCGCACTACAATTAGTAACTTATCAGCCCGCCTTTTAGAATATTATCACCTACTGTATTACAAGTACTACCATACAATCATCATATACGTACATATACAGTACAGTGTTTCCTTTATTTATGCCTTTATGGTTAAGATATCGTATTTAATCTATTACTAACTATATATACAACATAGACTTACCTTGGCGCTGTTGTCTGCTATTATCTACTGCTTTTCCAAATTGACTAGAGTATTCGCTTTCTGCTTCTATTGATCAAAACAAGAGATGAGAATGCGTTGGACAGATGCAAGACTGCTACAGTAGTAATCAATTACACAAATCACCTAGTGATGATGGCGATTGGTCGTCGATGACTGTTTGATTGTCTGCATATTGAGCCAAAAGCTGTCGAGTCATGTTGGCTATTTCTAATGGAGAAGGCTCCTTCTCGTTTTCTTGCAATTGATTGGAACAGTAATCAATATGTTTCTCATCCTCGACAATTTGAGGATGACTCTCTCCGTAGACATTGCGTAGACTGTTAATGGACTTTCGATATAATGAGATTGCTTGACGAAAATTCAACAGTTTACAATAGACTACAGCTTGACTTCGATACAGCTGGGCAGTATGAAGATGGTTCTCACCTAGCGTTACTAAAAAGATTTGCAGTGACTTGTTTAACATTGATAGAGCGTCGTCATACTTGCCTTGATCTTTATAGACACTACCAATACTGAGATATGTCGTAGCAATACTTGGATGATTGTGACCAAGTTGTGTTAGTTGAATCTTCAGCGATTTGTATACATCGATAGAGCGTCGTCATAATTGCCTTGATCTTTATAGACATTACCAATGTTGTGATAAGTCGTAGCAATACTTGGATGATTGTGACCAAGTTGTGTTAGTTTAATCTTCAGTGATTTGTTATACATCGATAGAGCGTCGTCATACTTGCCTTGATCTTTATAGATACTACCAATGCTGTTATATGTCGCAGCAATACCTGGATGATTGTGACCAAGTTGTGTTAGTTGAATCTTCAGTGATTTGTTACACATCGATAGAGCGTCGTCATACTCGCCTTGATCTTTATAGACAACACCAATGTTGTGATATGTCGTAGCAATACTTGGATGATTGTCATTAAGTTGTGTTAGTTTAATCTTCAGTGATTTGTTATACATCGATAGAGCATCATCATACTTGCCTTGATCTTTATAGACATCAGCAATACTGTGATATGTCGCAGCAATACTTGGATGATTGTGACCAAGTTGAGTTAGTTTAATCTTCAGTGATTTGTTATACATCGATAGAGCGTCGTCATACTTGCCTTGATCGTTATAGACTTGCCCAACATTGCTATAAGTTATAGCAATACTTGGATGATTGTCATCAAGTTGTGTTAGTCGAATCTTCAGTGATTTGTTATACATCGATAGAGCGTCGTCGTACTTGCCTTGATCTCTATAGACTTGCCCAATATTGTTATAAGTTAAAGCAATACTTGGATGATTGTCACCAAGTTGTGTTAGTAGAATCTTCAGTGATTTGTTATACATCGATAGAGCGTCGTCATACTTGCCTTGATCTTTATAGACACTACCAATGTTGATATATGTCGTAGCAATACTTGGATGATTGTCACCAAGTTGTGTTAGTTCAATCTTCAGCGATTTGTTATACATCGATAGAGCGTCGTCATACTTACCTTGATGATTATAGACTTGCCCAATATTGCTATAAGTTACAGTAATACTTAGATGATTGTCGCCAAATTGTGTTAGTTGAATCTTCAGTGATTTGTTATACATCGATAGAGCGTCGTCATACTTGCCTTGATGTATATAGACACTACCAATGTTGTGATATGTCGCAGGAATAATTAGATGATTGTCACCGAGTTGTGTTGGTTGAATCTTCAGCGATTTGTTATACATCGATAGAGCGTCGTCATACTTGCCTTGATGTAAATAGACACCACCAATGTTGTTATATGTCGTAGCAATACTTGGATGATTGTCACCAAGTTGTGTTTGTCGAATCTTCAGTGATTTGTTATACATCGATAGAGCGTCGTCATACTTGCCTTGATCTTCATAGACAACACCAATGTTGTGATATATTGTAGCAATACTTGGATGATTGTCACCAAGTTGTGTTAAGTTA